CTTAATGAAGCATTGTGCGTGTATGGCGAAGATGCCGCAGTGATGAAGTCGACAACAGCTGGATTGTGAGCGCGCTCGCAGAGCCGGTTTCGAACTGCAAATTCAAGCCAAAATAACCAGCAACAAGACCAAAACTGTCTTGTGGCAAAAGGGGGCGATGACCTTACCGCCAATGCAGCGGTGACAGCATCAATAACGCTCGCATCGTGAATTGCATTGAACACCAACCGCCCGCGACGCCACGTAGTTGCTGTCGCTTTGCCAGCGTTGATCTGCCGCGACAGCCGCAGCCCCAGCCGGTCCTTTCTCCCAGCCCTGCAGATGACCTTGAGCTACACTGACTGAAGCGCTGCAGCGGTGACCCACTGCAATGTTGCAGCAGGACCTCGCCCGTGCTCTCGATGCATACCACGCCCAAAGGGCAGCGACGCTTCCAAGGTTCGAACACACGATCGCGGGAGGTAAGCTGCTTCACTGGTCATGTTGCGCAACAGCCTGCTGCTCGGGTTTGGCAGATCAGCTTCTGCTCGGCTTTGGCAGATCAGCTTCTGTTCGGCTTTGGCAGATCAGCTTCCACCCGACTTCGGCAGATCAGCTTCCGCCCAACTTTGGCAGATCAGCTTCTGCTCGGCTTTGGCAGATCAGCTTCCGCCCGGCTTTGGCGGATCGGCTGCTGGCCGGCTTTGACAGACCAGCTGCAGCTCTCAATGTCTCAGCTTCATCTGAAGTAACGCTCTGCTCTATGCGGTAGGCTGCGGACCGTTCAGTCGGTTGGGAGAAGCACCTGCCTCTTTCGCTAGGAAAGCAAAGTGCGCGCCTTTCCCTCTCGTGCTGGTTGTCTTTCACGTTGCACTAGGTTTTGACTTTCGTTTACATTGACCACGTCTATGGATCTATGGCATTTTGAACTCTCCTTTAGTTCAGATGACCATATTGCCGGTCGACTTGAGGCTCCGCTGATGCTTTGCTATCGCTCCAAGCGAAACTGATTGTTGTTGTCACTGCGTGGTCTAAGATCAAGTTTCGGGTAAACCTGTTTTATGCCATGCAGATTCGTTAACTACGTCGTTAATAGGCCATCGGGCCACGCTCACGCCTGTGGACTATGCGTGACCGGGAACTTCAGTCGGAGTTTCACGCAATTGCGTGGAATGTGCGCAGTACTTCCCACAGGATACGGATACGCGCCGGTTTAACAGAATAAACCACCATCCTTGAAGTACGTCTTTCTCTTAGAGGTGCTGTTTCTCCGTGTCAAACACCTGGCAGAGCAAACATTTCGGAGGAAACAATACAGAAGCGTTATGGTCAAGTGGTCAGCTTGCCTTCCGTTCCCAAGTGGGACCCGGGTTGGAAACTCGGTGACACCACGGCCCCAAAACACCATTTGGACTTTGCAGCCGCTGGTGCCCCAAGAACGGGGCGCAACGGCGTGCGTTGCGTCACTTTGAAGCCAGGAAGTAACATCCGAAGAACGTGGTAGCTTCATTCTGCTTGCCTGCATGATACGTTATTAAGACAAAAGCAAAAGAAATGAGCGGTGTCGCCGCCGGCGCCAAGACCACTGATGCTGAAACCTGAACAGCTAAACTATTTCAGAGACGCCACATGCTTGAAGAAGCCGTCCAATGTTAACTGGGATGGTTGCACGTCTTTCGTTGAGCCTCTGATATCAGCCATCTCCTTTCAACGTAATTCTAATGCGATTCTTAAAACATGAGGGGCAGTTTTACCCAATCCAAAACGACACCGACAAACCTACCAGCGCATTTTATCTACCTTGGACTACATGCAAGACGTACGCTGCTTACAAACGTTTTTCATAACATTCTCAAAGTCGTGGCGAGAGCACAACGTGTTTGAAACGATGCCGAACGCTGCCACACGCTTCTTCTCTCCTATACGTTGTCAACAGGAAACAAAACAAAAATATGGTCGAACTCCTATGCCGATGCACCATAACAGTGCGTGGAATACGTACCCGGCCGTAAACAGCGGACAACGAACATACAATGCTGCTTCGTAAACTACGCTTCACTGTCAAAGACGGTAACAAATCGCTCATCTCCACCAGCAGATGCCATAAGAAACACAGAGAAGGCAACATCGTTAAATATAAATAACGGAAGGTCGCATGATGACGTCACAATCCAGCCGAGTCTCGCCAGAGCGACAGCGGACGAACTGCAGGTTTCGTCCACACTTTTGCCAAAGCGTCCACATTCAGCGGGATCCAAACGCAGCAGTCCCGGTACTGAGACGTCTGCGCTCGGCTGGCTGCCGGCGGACCTGGTGAGCAGAGACGCCGCCAGCGGAGGAGCCCGGAGCGCGGCCACACGCAGGACAAGACGCGACACCCGGCTCTCCGGCACGCTCAGCGCCGCCGGCCGCGTTACACTGGCCGGCGGACAGGCCGCAGCCGACTGTGGTACGCCGATTCCAGTGCACCGAGCCTCCGGGTCACACCGCCTGCCGCGGCGCTCGGCACCGGCCGGCCGCCGACTCCAGCGCACGCGGGTGGGCTC